CAGCGAGGAGAGTGGTTGAGTGTCAACCTATGAACCAGGAGGTCAGGGTTGGATTCCAGGTCAGGGCACATGCCGGGGGTTCCGGGCTCCATCCCCAGTCGGGGGCGTGCGGGAGGCAGCCCATGGATGTTTCTCAACATTGATGTTTCTCTCACTCTGAAATCAATAATTTTTAAAGAAATAATACTCTGCTTTTGCTTTATTCTACAATTCAACTTGTTTTGTTTGCCCGCATTTTTTGGGTAAAGTTTAAAAACTGGCATACTTCACGCATAAAAAAACAGATTTTCGTTTTTTCTTAAGAGAAATTATAAATAAAGGATTTTAATAAAGAAAAGGAAGAAGCTCTGGCATCACAGGGTCACATTCTCGCGTGGCCACAATCAGCCGGAACCACAGCTCGGCTTCTTACTCAGGGACTGTCCACGTCCCTGGAGAAATCTGAGTTTGCGACCCCTTTTCCTGTTACTGACAACTTAGGTTGCGGTGGGGCAGAGCCCGCGTTGCTAAGGGAGAGGAGAGGGGAGAGCGGCCGAGGCGCAGACGGAGGATCAGAGCCTCTGCCTGTGCGAACCGGCGAGTCTCAGGCCTCCTCAAACCCGGGGTCTCCAATCCCACCGCCGACCGCGGCCCCGCCGCCTGTTCTGTATGAAGAGCCTTTCCTAACTCTAGGAAACAACAAAAACAGAGCCCCCACCAGCACCGGAAGCCGGGGTTTAACCGTAGTCACCTGACCTGACATTCTGCGTTATGATTGGGTGTTGGGAACACGTGATTCTTCAGCGCCGTGCGGTGACCCCGCCCCGGACGCGCATGGGGGCGGGGACAGGTGCCACGACGCGACGGTATTGGTCGGCTTTCTCAGGACGCATCCAATCGGAACCGGCCGGCTTCTGGCGCGAAGTGAGCCGGCGTGCGGCGCACGGCTGAGGAGCCGGCGCGGGGAGTTTGGACCGCGGTTCCTCCAGCTCCGAGCCTGAGGGAGAGGTGAGTGGGTCGCGCGGACCTAGGGCCGGCCCGGCCCGGCTTCCCGGCCCTGCTGGACAGGAAAGCCTCGCGGGCTCCTCCGTTGCTCGGACCGCTGAGCCCTGTCGTTTCGCAGGCAGCATGGGAGAGAGCAGAGACGGTTCCCTGACAGAAACAGGCCCGGGGCGGAGGCGAGCCGCGCCGGGGTCGCCCAGGATGTTGGGGCCGAGCCGGCCCAGCGCCCATTGTGTTCTCCTTGGGGTCGACCCGTGCCCACCATGGTGTCTGCCTCAGCGGAGTCACCGGCCAGGCCCGGCCCCATTTCCCTCCTGAGGAAAACGTACTAGTAAAACGCCGCTCTGTCCTTGGCCTTCCACGGCCTCGAGCCCGGCTGCCGTGTTTTGCGTGTCTGCTGTGTGCCACGTGCGGGGCCCCCGTTATCTTACAGTCGTAGTTTCGCGAGACCCCGGTCAGGGGTGCGGGTCAGAGGCCCGGTTCGCAGCCCCGCTCTTGCGCGTCCCGCTCTGTGACTCCACCGCTACTTCAACTCCGTGCTGTGGGGGGAAAGGACCCCTTCTACATGGTTCTGTTTTGGGCCAGGATTCCGTGGTTTCGTCTGTGCAGGAAGTGCTTCCAGGGGCATTTGGTCCATGGTCAGGGCTCCGTTTGCATGACGCGGAGAAGGAGGTCAGACCGCCCTCCTGGAGCATCGCAGCGCAAAGGTTGTCCCTGCTCCAATCCAAGGGCTTTGGGAGGGAATTTGAACTAAGAGTTGACTCCAAAGCATCTTCCTCGACACCAGGCCCTTGGGTTCCTCAACACTTGGGCCACCTGACGCCTGCCTGCCAGCTCCCGGTGCCGCCAGTGTAGACGGCGCCCCTGAGCCCCTGCCACGTCTGAGGAGCCGTCAAGGGAGAGACCGCGGGAGTGATCCATGGGAAATGGAGAAGGGGAGGCAGGTGTTCCGTGTGGGGAACAGCAACTAGAAGGAAAAGGAGCCAGCATGTTGTTAGCTGGGTCAGGAAGGAGCTCATAGTCCACTGGGAGGAGAATTCCTGGGGAGGTGGCTGCTGCCTTCACTGTGCTGATGAGACCCAGAGTTAAAATGCTGGTTAAAGACCGTAGTGTTAGGTGTGTCATAAATGAACAACATGCAGGGGAATTGCATCCACTTGAGACTAGTCAGTATCATCTCTGAGAAGGGAGGGAAATTTCAACTATATTTGAGCCCTGGCTGGTTCGCTCAGTGGTTAGAGCGTCTTCCTGCAGACTGAAGGGTCTCGGGTTCGATTCCTGGTCGAGGGCACTTACCTGAGTTGCAGGTTCCCCAGCCCCGGGTAGAGGCGTGTGCTGGAGGCAACCAGTCTATGTGTCTCTCATTTCCATGTCTTTCTTCCCCACCCTTCTCCCTTTCACTCTCTCTAGAATTCAGTGGGAAAATGATCCGTGGGTAAGGATTAAAATAAAATAAATAAATAAATAATATATTTGAAATATTTTATACTTTAAAAGAGAGAAACAGGATAAAGATTAACATCTTAAATTTGGTTGGTGGGTACATGGTTATTGTATTTTCTGTATACTAGAGGCCCGGTGCACGACATTCGTGCACTTGGAGGGGGCTCCCTCAGCCCAGCCTGCACCCTCTTGCAGTCCAGGACCCCTTGGAGGATAAGCCCGCAGACCCAGCAGACGGACATCCCCTGAGGGGTCCTTAGTGCTGCCTCTCCCGCCTCCACTGCTGCACTCCTCAGCCCCTGCTTCTGGCTGAGCGGTGCTCCCCCTGTGGGAGCACACTGACCACCAGGGGGAAGCTCCTGCATTGAGCGTCTTTCCCCTGGTGGTCAGTGTGTGTCATAGCGACTGGTTGGTCCACCATATGGTTGATTTGCATATTAGGATTTTATTATATAGGATATGTTAAATAGAATTACATTAATTATATATTAATTTTAGTACATATGTATTCTTTATTTTTTCGATACGTTTCTTTTAAGGGAAGAAAGGCTAGAACAAAGAGGTCCAGAGAAATTGCAAACTACTCTGGGACCTAAATGCTGAAAGCCACTGTGGGTCTTCATTGCCTGATACAAACCATTGCACAAGTCCGTTGCACAAATACTGCATAGACTACCCTTCTTTACAACCTCCACCCTGCTTGGGAAGTTCTACTTGTTTCAAGCTTCTTTTATATTTTTAAACATAATAAGATTAATCGCTTTATACTCTTAGGCCTGATGCTGTTTGCTTCTGTTACAACTAGTTCTCTTTCATTTTTTTCTTTTGTTAAACCTCACCTAAGGATATTTTCCCATTGATTTTTAGAGTGGAAGGGAGGGGAGAGACAGAGAGAGAAACATTTTTGTGAGGGAGACACATCTATTGCACGAACCCGACTGGACTGGCCGGGGATCGAGTCTGCAACTGGTGTACGTGCTCTTGACTGGAATCGAATCCTCGACCTTCCAGTGCTCTGGCTGATGCTCTAACCTCTTAGCAAACCAGCCAGGGCTAGTTCTCATTCTTGTTTCCTTGAGTGTTTGGCTGTTTCTGTCCGTGTTTGGTACACTGTCTTGAAAAATTGTAGTCATTATTTAAGGCCTTGGATAAAGGTGTATTCCGCCAGAGATGTTTTTGCATTTGCTTCTGCCAAGTGCTTTGGAATTAGGATCACTTTATTTTTTTTTTATTTATTTATTTTTTTTAATATATTTTATTGATTTTTTACAGAGAGGAAGGGAGAGAGATAGAGAGTTAGAAACATCGATGAGAGAGAAACATCAATCAGCTGCCTCCTGCACATCTCCCACTGGGGATGTGCCCGCAACCCAGGTACATGCCCTTGACCGGAATCGAACCTGGGACCTTTCAGTCCGCAGGCCGACGCTCTATCCACTGAGCCAAACCGGTTTCGGCTGGAATTAGGATCACTTTAATCTAAATTCATGGCTTGAGGTGTGTGTGTGTTGAAAAGATTCTTGGATTTGTAGTTTCAGGGTCTGTCCCATTTAATCCCTCAGCAACTGGTAACTTTATTTATAGACAGACACCTGGGGATGGGAGTGGGGGTTTAATTTGGGTTTCTCTTTTCCTAAATGATATCGTCCTTTTTGGTGCTAGTTTTATTTTTTTGATATGTCTTTATTAATTTTAGAGAGAGAGGAAGGGAGAGAGAGAAACATAGATGTGAAAGAGAAACTGGTTGGCTGCCTCCTGCACGCTCCCTTCTAGGGATGGTGCCCACAAGTCGGGCATGTGCCCTGACCAGGAATCAAACCTGTGACCTTTTGGTGCACGGGACAATGTTCAACCAACTGAGCCACACCGGCCAGGACTGTGGTGCTGGTTTTGCAGGGGGATGAATATTTCCCACACTTGGTGGTCCCTAACTTTGATTCAGAGCATTTTTTCCTCCAAGGCTATTAAAACTGATCCTCAGATTCTCGGATTAGACAGCGGCCCTCGGGAGAAAAAGAACTTCAGTGCTCTCCTTACTTTCTGGGTTCCCACTTTGATTTAGATTTTGACCTGATAAGTTTTTAAGCTTTTTGTCAGAGATTTGTTGTACTTAACAATTTTCTATTTTATCCAGCAATAATCTAGAGCAACTGTCAACAATCCTTTTCTGTAAAGGGCTAGATAGTAAATATTTTAGGCTTTGCAGACTCAACATTCTCTGTCATAACTACTCATCTGTGGTGCTGAAGTAGCCAGCAGTATATGAACAAATGGGCATAGCTGTGTTTCAGTAAAACTTTATTTACAAACACAGGCTGCAAGCCAGATTTGGCCCATGTCATCATTTGCCACTTATTGATCCTAGAGCAGGGGTGGGCAACCCCTGGCATGCCACGCCAGTAACTTTTGCTGGCACGCGAAACCCTCTCTTATAATCTTCCATTTACAATTTTTTTCTTAATATCGACTTTTTTATTTTTCAGATAAATTCAGTGTAGGTGCATCTTAGATAAATAAATAATTTTACATAACATGTGTACATTAAAAAATAAATGTATTTTTCATCATCATATACTGTGTTTTTGTCGCTCGAATGAATTTTATTATTTCTTCAAGGTTCTTCACATACGTACACCTTAAGAGATATCAGGTAGGCGTAACATGTTCTCAAAAAATTAGGGTTGGCACGCAGAAGAATTTTGAGTCAGAGATTTTGCTGGTTTTGGCACGCACTCACAAAAAGGTTGCCCACCCCTGCCCTAGAGTATATGGCTTATTGATTAGCATTTGTTAAATATTGATTCTTTGCCCTATTTTATTGTTTCTGTCATTATACATTAAACATATTTTAGAGACTAGGTTTTTCTTTTTTTTTTAAATATAATTTTTATTGTTAATAGTATTACAGATAGCTCCCATTCTCCCTCCCTCTCCGTTCTCCCCTCCTCCCAGCCCCTCCCCCTCCCCCCACCCCCGTCTTCACCTAGGTTTTTCATTTAAATTATTTTCACATTTAATACGATTATAATTCTAAATGCTAGTTCCCACTGCAGTATTATTTAGTATTCTTAGTATTGTGGTTTTGTCAATGAATTTCAGAAGCATTTTTGTTGAGTTTTGTGAAATATTCTTCTGGTGTTCCAGTTGGAATTTTGTAAACTCATAAGTTAATTTTCAAAGAACTTTTGTGATATTTAAACCTTTCATTTAAGAGCATGAAATATTTATCCAATTTTTTTTTCATTTCTCTCAGTAATACTTGGTCATTTTTGTCATGAAGATGTATGCCTCTGTTAATTGGTAGTTGTTTAATATTTTTCATTGTTATTGTTAATTGAATGCCTTTTAAAAATTATATTTTCTAGTTAGTTATTACTACCACATGAGAATGCATTTAACTTTTGTGGGTTTATATTTATTTAACCACGTTACTAAAGTTTTAATTATCTATTGTTATGCCTGGATTGTGTTAGTAATCTAATTGTCTACAAGTCATGATATTCATGCTTCTTCTTTTCTAGTATTTTCCTTTTTGAATACTTTTGCACCAGCAAGAATGTTCAATATGAGAGTGAAAATAAAAGAACAATATTGTTTTTGCCCATATTTTTATGGATTCACCACTATTGTAAAATAGAAGATATTATATTGGGTCTGGTTATGTATCTATTAGAAATGGTTTGAGTTTCATCAGATGCTTTTTCAAAAATGCATTGATAATATATACTGTATGATTCCATATATACATATATCAAGAGGTTCAAGAATAGGCCCTGGTTGGTGTGGCTTGGTTGGTTGGAGTGTCATCCTGTACACCAAAAGGTGGCAGGTTTGATTCCTGGTCAGGGCGCATGTGGGAGGCAATCAGTTTTTCTCACATTGATGTATCTCTCTCTCTCTCTCTCTCTCTCTCTCTCTCTCTCTCTCTCTCTCCCTTCCTCTTTCTCAAATCATAAAAGAAAATTTCTTTTTAAAAAAGTTCGCAAACAGGCAAAACTAATCTATGGTGATAAAGTCAGGTAGTGGTTACATCTGGGATGTATTAACTGGGAAAGGACATAAGAAAGCATACCGGGCCCTAACCGGTTTGGCTCAGTGGATAAAGCGTCGGCCTGCACACTCAAGGGTCCCAGGTTCGATTCCGGTCAAGGGCATGTACCTTGGTTGCGGGCACATCCCCAGTGGGGAGTGTGCAGGAGGCAGCTGATCGATGTTTCTAACTCTCTATTCTCCCTTCCTCTCTGTAAAAAAAAAATCAATAAAATATATTTTTTAAAAAAGAAAAAGAAAGAAAGCATACCGGGGTGCCAGAAATGTTCAATACCTTGATTTGGATGTTGTTTACATAGTTAGATACATTAAATGAAACCATATTGAGCCATTTAGTTAAGATTAGTGTACTTTATTGCTAGTATGCTTTACCCCAATAGAAATGTTTTTAAAATTTATTGATCAGATTACATTGATTTTTATTACTTAAACTGTAAAGATGATATATCATATTAGTGGTTTCACTTAATGTTAAACCAGCTTTACATTTCTGTGATAAGTCATAGTTGAGACATATGTTATTTAACGTTTTTATTCTTTCATTTAATAAATATTTAATGCTAGGTGCTTAGAGATGCTGTGGGTTATAAAACCCATAATGGCCCATTTTTGCATAGTGTTTACAATCTAGTAGAAGAAATACCAACCAAATAATTACAAAAGTGAATAGAATTGCAACTACGATAAAAACTGCAGTTGAGAGGTATTTATTATTATAAAGGTATATTATTGGGTATTTTTTCTTTATCAAACACTTATATATTGCCTACTATCTGCCAGATACTATTATTCTAAGCACTTTACATATGAGGTGGGTAGGCACTGTATAGATGAGGAATCTGAGATAGAGAGATGAAATAATATGTCCAAGGGCATTTAGCTACTAAGTTGTAGAGCCAGGCTACAAATCCATGTATTTTGTTTGCTCTTAACCACATAGATGTGACTACCTAAATATAGAGTTTTCCTTAAGGAAGTAATGGTTAGATCTACCATTGGAGGATGGAGGATGAATAGGAATAAATTGTCAAGAGAGTCTGAAAGAAGGCTTGTGTTTTAAAGGAGCATATAATCAACTTCGTCATATGCTAAGCCATCAGGAAAGAGGATTGATTGAAAAGGGGTATTGTAATAAGTAACATGGAGATCAGTGACCCCCACCCCCCAATTAAGGGATTTATCATTGTGATCAGGGTAGAAGCCAGAGTGGAGACTATCACTTTCTTCAGATTGTTGCCACAGTCTGACCCACATTGCTAAGAACCACTGCCAACTAACAAACAGTTCAATGTGTAGTATTTTAATTATCACTTTAAAAATAGTTTCATTTTATAATGTTGGGATTTTTTTTCTCCACTCCAGTTTTATTAAGATCATATTGTAAACTTTCTAAATTTTGCTTATATTTTTCTTACTAATTTGTTTTGTTAACTTGTGCCTCCACTTTGAAAATCTCCACTGTTTAAAATCTCTACTTTTTGTATATATTATATTTTTCTTCATGACAGTTTTTATTCTCATCAACATTTTTAAAAGACATATTTCTATTTTTGTCATTTCATCCCTGCCAAATACCTATTTGTCTTAGAATTATGGAAGGCTAATTTTAGAAGGAAACATGGAAATTTTCTAACCCAACCTTCTTATTTTAGAAATGAGGACACTGGAGAGAGTCAATGAATTCCTCAAAGCCACACAGTGAATTTGTGGCAGAATTAACCAAAGAACCTGAGTTCTTAGTACATTTCTCATTTCTGTTGGTCAAGTGATACTGAACTTCTTACAATTCTGCTTCTTTGTATTATTTTTCCTTGCATTTTAATGAGTTTGGGCCATGCAAATTAAATGTAGTTTGGGCTTTTTGTCACTCTACAATAACTTTTTATTTATTCCCATTGATTTGAAAAAGAAAAATAGCCCCACCAGAGTGGCTCAGTGGTTGAGCATTGACCTATGAACCAGGAAGTCTTGGTTTGATTCCCGGTCAGGGCACATGCCTGGGCTGTGGGCTCGATCCCCAGTGGGGGATGTGCAGGAGGCAGCCAATTAATGATTCTCTCTCATCATTGACATTTCTGTCTCTCCCTTCTCTGAAATCAATAAAAGTATTTTTTTTTTTTTAAAAAAAAGATAGAATGGGAAAGGAGTTATAACTATCAGCTGAAATGAAATTTTTTTGCTATCCATAGATTTTGGCTGTCCTGTCTTCTTGTACCCCAGTAACTTGAAGGTGGCTCAAGCTGTATGTTATCTCAGACAATAGCTCAGCAAATATCACAGTTTGTTCAAGGTATTCTACAAGAATACTTTTAAAAAGAACATATATTTTATTGATTCTTCACAAAGAGGAAGGGAGAGGGATAGAGAGAAACATCGATGAGAGAGAAACATCGATCAGCTGCCTCCTGCACACCCCCTACTGGGGATGTGCCCGCAACCAAGGTACATGCCCTTGACCGGAATCGAACCTGGGACCCTTGAGTCCACAGGCTGATGCTCTATCCACTGAACAAACCGGCTAGGGCTATAAGAATACTTTTATGCTTGGTAAAAGTATTTCAGCTTGAAACTAAATAATTGTGAAACGTGGTGTCTTGCTGGGGAGCCATTGCTCTCATTGGTGGTGAATTCAGTTACTCATTTGGGTTTTCAGTATGCTTTGATTATGTTCTCCTACCACACTCTCTGTCTACTTTCTATTTATTCTTCAAGCCCAGGCCAGGTGTCATTTTTATGCAAGGCCTTTCCTAATAATCCCTTCCCTTAATGTCCTTTGTGTTTGTTTTAGCATTGGGGGAAACCAGGTCATTTTGCTGTTCAAGTGAGCATCAGTTAGTTAAAGATTATATAGTTCAAATGTAACCAGTTGTAAATGTCAAAACAGTTTATTGACCCAAAAAAGCCTCATTACTTTGGGCACAGTTGGAACAGTGCTCCATCCCCTCTGCCCCCCCCAAAATATTGTGATTCATGCAAAGCACATAACTGTACTGATATTTTTTCCCTCTCTTTTTAGGATCATGGCTGCTGTTCCTCAAAATAATCTACAGGAGCAACTGGAGCGTCATTCAGCCAGAAAACTTAACAACAAATTAAATCTTTCAAAACCAAAACCTTCGTAAGTATTTTGGCTGTTTGTTGTTATACATACTAGTACAGTATCATACAAATGAGATATCTGCACTTTCAGCCCTTTCATTGTATAGATGGGGAAATGAAGCTGTGAGGTTAATGATTTTCCCACTTGCAAGTTAATGGTAGAACATGTGTTAGCAGCACCAGGTAATAAATTGTTCAGCACTTTTTAAAAAAATATATTTTATTGATTTTTTACAGAGAAGAAGGGAGAGGGATAGAGAGTTAGAAACATCGATGAGAGAGAAACATCGATCAGCTGCCTCCTGCATACCTCCCACTGGGGATGTGCCTGCAACCAAGGTACATGCCCTTGACTGGAATCGAACCCGGGACCCTTGAGTCCGCAGGCCGACACTCTATCCACTGAGCCAAACCAGTCAGGGCTTGTTCAGCACTTTTGCACAGTTCCTGGCACATAACACTTGCTCAGTAAATATTTGTTGAATGAATTAATAATGAATCTTTTTGTAAATTTAGGCAAATAGGTATTTTTTAGCATTTTAATATAATTTTATATCTTTTCCAAAAACAACTTATAAAGAAACTATAGCTCTTTGGTTCTGTTCTTTCCTCCTAGATACACTCCAAACTCCTAATAATATCTAATAATTTATATTCCTTATTGTACCCTTACCAAGTTCTGGGTGCTTGGCGTTAAAGTCACCATTGACCTTTATGTCGCTAAGTCCAGAGGTATCTAAGATTCTTAACTTCTCCTCCAAATCTCAGTATAGCGAGCAGTTTTTTACATTTTTTCCCCATAAAACTTTGATCAGAGTAGCAACAAGTAGCCACATTTGAGTCTTTTCTCTTTTTCACTTATGCCATCCCCTCCCTCTGGATGGCTAAGAACTACAAGCCTGAGAAATAAAGTAGAGGGAATGGCCTTGATACTCTCAAAACTGAATAATTAGCCCTGAATAAGAAGGATCAGAGCATACTTTAACTTGCCTTATAAATTTTAAAATCGGAGAGGGGGATAGAAGGTAAGTTATATAAGTTAGTAAAAAAAAATTACTGGGTTTGTTACAATTTATCTAATTCAAGTATTTCATTTTTCCAGCTGTTTCACTTTTAAAAAGAAAGTCTCTTCAGCCAACAATGTGTCTGTGACTTGTGTGTCAGTAGCAAAAACACCTGTGTTAAGTGATAAAGATGTTAATGTTTCTGAGGACTTTTCCTTCAGTGAAACTTTACCTCATACCATGAATCCGCAAACAAGGATCAGTGACTTTAAAAATGCTGCTGCAGGACAGCAAGCCAAGAGAATTGGTTCAAAACCGTTACTGCCAGACTCATCGCAGATTCCGAGGGAAGTTTCACTTGCTACGCAGAGCACTCCAAGTAGAAAGGAATTCCGTGATGCTACTTTCAAGAAATTAGAATATAGTTCTTCCTCAGATTGGGATGATATGGATGACTTTGATACTTCCGGAAATTCAAAAGCATTTGTTACACCACTCAAAAATCACTCTGTAAGAGTAAGCACTGCTCAGAAAAAGTCCAAGAGAAACTTTTTGAAAGCACAGCTTCAAAAGGAAGATACAGTAAAGGTTGACTTGACTACTCCTCCCTCTGAATGCAAGCAAGTAGATTTGACTGAGGAGCAGAAGGCGGACTCCGAATGGTTAAGTAGCTTAAGTAGCGGTGTGATTTGTATTGATGATGGCCCCAGTTCCGAAGAGCTTGCAAATGAAGACACTCAGAATAGCCACTCTTTAAAAACTCATTTGGGAGAAGAAAGAGGTAAAAATTACTTTATTTTCATTTCAGTGTATCGATTGTATTCGTTCAGTCAAAGCTGGGTTTTGGAACAGTAGCAAATATGATATAGCTTTTGTCCTTCAGATCTTTAGAGGTGTTTATTGAACAATCTGTTGGCCACATGCTTGAGGCAGAATATACTGATGAAATGAAAGATTTTATTCTGCTAATAATCTGTGATTTTTACATATGAAGAAAATAAGGTCCATAGAGGTTAAATGGTCTATTGGCTGGTAAGTGGCAGAATTGGGAAGTGAATTAAGTCTTTTTATTATAATTCCTTTATGGCTTGCTGCCACTGAATATTGCTGCATAATATGATCTGATCATGCTATTAAAGTATAAATTGCATTGAAATTATTTTCTGCTTAGGTCTCATAGCTAAGATTAGCCATATGTGGAAGTACCTACCTTATGAAATAGTTGCAAATGTGAGACTAAAATTTTTAAGCACCTGAATTCTGTAGGATGAGAGAGGACCAGGAAGTGATTGATAATAAACAGAGCTATAGTCTAATCAGATGTGTGTCTGTTTATGAAGAGAAAACTTGGTAAAATGTAAACTAAAGAGCAACAATTGGGCATTGTGTTTTTCCTCGTAGTCAGGAGAGAGAGAGAGATTGAATCTGGTAGACTTAAATCACTAGGAAGCCTTTGTGACAAAGTAAAAATAGTTTGTACAAACAATGGTGTTTGTAAAATTATTAGAGTCATTTGTTGCACTTTACTCTTCTTTAAATATGAGTACAAAATAGAAAAACAAAAGTGCTGGTGCCAAGTAGGAGTTTCATAATTTAATGAGACAGTCATGAAAAGCCTTAAGCAGATCTTTGGCCTCAATCCAGTAGTCATTGGACTTGCTCCAATTGACTCAATAATAATTTATGAAAAAACAAGCTGACATTAAGGTGGGAAACGAGAGGGCTCACGGAGTGGTGCTAGTGTTTATGAGTTGCCTGAAGCACTCACTTTTCAGTGCTCATACCCTGTTCTTTCTGTTTCATTAATTATTAAAATAACCTACGTTATCAACTGTCTACTTTAGATAATAGTGAAAAGGAAAAACACTTGGGAGAAACTGAATTCCATTCACTGAAGAAATCTCCACCTGTTCAACTTGATGAAGACGATTATGATATCGATTTTATTCCACCTTCTCCGGAAGAAATAACGACTTCTGCCTCTTCTTCCTCTCTAAAATGCTTTAGGTAAAATAGCTGATTAATTAATAAGCATTAGTGTTTGCCTTTGAGGTATCTGAAATATTTTAACTTAGTTATGTACTATCATTTTTGTATAATTTCATGCTCTGCACAGTTTATTAAAATTCCTATTGATACATTTTATTTAATTGGTGGTATGCTAAAGCTACAAAGTTCCAGCTTTAGCAAACTACCAAAATTGTAATTACATGAGACCTCCAAACAATTTTATATAGTTGATTTTAACTTGAGGAATATATGACACAAAGCTAACTCCTTATTTGGATAGTTAGTAAGTGATACGTTACCCTCCCCCCCCCTTTTTTTAATCTTACAGGATAGAATTGACTATTGTATTTGACATTCACTGAATTTTATTAAATTAGGGACATGATTGTGGTAGTGTTATGGGGAAAAATACATAGTCCACACAGATCATCAATAGCTTAACATACAAATTAATAATCATTGTTACCTCCGTCCTCATCCAAGTCTAAATCACAGTCCAGTTAAGTGATGGATTATATACTACATTTTTAACCAATATTTTGGCAAGAAATAGATCTCTATAGTGTGTTAGCTTAATTAGAGAAGGAAGACAGGAAGGAGGTGTTTGTGTGCATATTTGTGTTTTAACAGGTGTGTTGGGATGTTTAAAGAGGCAGGAAAGGTTGGAGCATGATTATTATTTGATGACAAAACTAAAAAACTGTACCTCCTCTTCTAAACTAAAAAACGGCCCTCTCCTCTTCTCCCTCCCAATAGAAATTCAGACAGAATTGCACAAAGTAAAAAACTGATCAGGAGTTCATATAGAGTCTGGATTCTAAATCAGCATCATTTAGCACGTGAAGCAGCTGAGGAGCAGGGGATGGCCCAGGATGATAAAATTAATAGCAAATGGATGAAGATCCAGCATAGTGCTATTTCCTGGCTTTTTGTGTGTTTATTTATAAAGTGTGCATTGCACAAATAACACTGTAACCACTTAACAGGATTCTTACTTGTAATCTCAACATTCCAACAAACCAAACATTTTCTTTATCCATGTTTGGTTTTGATCTTTTTCTGCATGTGTATGATTTTTGCTGTAATTAACATGTAACTCTACTGTTTATTCTGCTTTTTTAAAAATTTATTGATTTGAGAGAGGGAGAAACATCGATTTGTTGTTCCACTTATTTTTTTAATATATATTTGTATTGATTTCAGAGAGGAAGGGAGAGGGAGAGAGATAGAAACATCAATGGTAAGAGAGAATCGTTGACTACCTGCCTCCTGCACGCCCCCCACTAGAGATCGAGCTTGCAGCCTGGACATGTGCCCTGACTGGGAATTGGACCATGACCTCATGGTTCATAGGTCAGTGCTCAACCACTGAGCCACACCAGCCCGGCTTGTTCCACTTACTTATGAATTCATTGGTTGATACTTGTATGTGCCCTGACCTGGGATCAAACCTGCAACCTTGGCATATGGGGACAACTCTCTAACCAACCGAGCTACCCAGCCAAGGCCTCTGCTTCTTTTCTCTTAAGTAGCATTTTTAAAATATTTTCTATATTGTTATGTAGTCTTTATTCTTATTCCATTTAATGGCTATATAATTTATTGAGTTTTCATTCCGTAATTAACTTTACCTAGATATTCAGCACTTGGAAAATGCTTATTTCCAAGGTAGATTCTCTCTGTTCATTTTCCACTGCAACCTCATATACACATTTGTGTATATTATAAAATTTTCACAAATCATGCTTTATATGCAGAGGACACTTAAATTTTATTACCTTTTATTGTGTTTTAAAATGCTGGTTGTAACTTCTGAATTAATTTCCGAAGTGTAATGGTCTGGTAATATATAACAGAAAAGAGAAACATGTTATTGTAGGTCCTTGTATTCGTAAACCTCTTGAGCTGGCCCTCGGAATCCTTCATCTTCAGGCCCCAATTTACCTTTCAGCTTTATCACTAGTTATGTCCTTACAATAACCCTAAAGTCCTATGAGCCTCATGAGACAAATTGGAAAATACTGCTAAAATGTAAGGCCCTTTCCTTAAATATAATATATTTTATTTATTTATTTATTATTTTTTAAATATATTTTATTGATTTTTTACAGAGAGGAAGGGAGAGGGATAGAGAGTTAGAAACATCAATGAGAGAGAAACATTGATCAGCTGCCTCCTGCACACTCCCTGCTAGGGATGTGCCTGCAACCAAGGTACATGCCCTTGACTGGAATCAAACCTGGGACCCTTTAGTCCGCAGGCTGATGCTCTATCCCAGTGGTTCTCAACCTTCCTAATGCCGCAACCCATTAATACAGTTCCTCATGTTGTGGTGACCCCCAACCATAAAATTATTTTCGTTATTACTTCATAACTGTAATGTTGCTACTGTTATGAATTGTAATGTAAATATCTGATATGCAGGATGTATTTAGGCGACCCCTGTGAAAGGGTCATTCGACCCCCAAAGGGGTCGTGACCCACAGGTTGAGAACCACTTGTTCTATCCTCTGAGCCAAACTGGTTAGGGCTATATTATCATTTTATAAAACATAGTTTTATTAATCAATGTTTGATTTAGTTAGAAGGTTGCATTCCAAAATCCTGTTTTAGAAAAGTACAGTTGATTCTTGAATATCAAGTGAATAGAACTGTCTTTTCTATCTCTTCATAGTCTCTCACTTATCATATCCATCTTTCAAGGTTTCCTCCAATTCCACCCCCTTTGCAAAGCTTTATCTTTCTTTGGATTGCCACAGTACCCTCTCTTTAACAATTAGTACTTGTTTTGTTACTTTTATTTATTTATTTTTTAAATATATTTTTATTGATTTTTTACAGAGAGGAAGGGAGAGGGAATAGAGAGTTAGAAACATAGATGAGAGAGAAACATCGATCAGCTGCCTCCTGCACACCTCCCGCTGGGGATGTGCCCGCAACCCAGGTACATGCCCTTGACCGGAATCGAACCTGGGACCCTTGAGTCCGCAGGCCGACGCTCTATCCACTGAGCCAAACCGGTTAGGGCTGTTTTGTTACTTTTAAAGTATTTTTTTATATCTAGTCAAACTGACCATGTTTATATGTATTAATATATTTTTGTATGATCTGTATAAGTTAGTTATATGTACAGATACACATATACACGTTGATATGGATAAAATGCTTTGGAATCTCAGAAGAGAGAGATGTTAAAAAGCACTTGCTGGAGAAATCAGAAAAATAGCCTTTGAGCTGGGCCTAGAGGAACAGGTGTGATTTGGGTAGGAAGAGATTGGAATGGTGGGTTTTTCATAGACGAGCAGAGGCTGAATTTCTGAAGTAGCCAACACAGGACTTACTGAAGAATGTACGTCATGCACTGTGATTGGAGCCTGGGGTTATTGAAAGGTCATCATTGGAGACAAAGTTGAAAAGGTCTCCTGGCCCAGAAGATGAATGACTTCGAGGGCCAGCTAAAGAGGTTTTAGAATAGAGAAGATACAAAAATATATTTCTCTTTTCTGTTATATATTGTCTGACCAGCTGTGCAGAAATAATTATGTATTCTATACGTTGATTGGTTGTATATTTTTAAACTTGTAGTATGTTAAAGGAGCTTGACACCTGTGACAGAAAGAAGGATGGCCTAAGCACACCAGAGGACTTGTCAAAACCAGAGAAAATGCCTACTCAGCAATCTAACCAAGAAACCAGCAGAGACTGTGACGGTACAAAAAGTATTTTAGACATATCATGTATTTTAATTACTAACTTTTTTTTTTTAAATGTGTTTTTGTTTGTGTGTTTTTTTTTTGTATATTTTTATTATTGATTTTTTTACAGAGAGGAAGGGAGAGAGATAGAGAGCTAGAAACATCGATGAGAGAGAAACATCGATCAGCTGCCTCCTGCACACCCCCTACTGGGGATGTGCCTGAAAACCAGAGAAAATGCCTACTCCGGAATCGAACCTGGGACCCTTGAGTCCGCACTGTGACGGTACAGAAAGTATTTTAAACATGTCATGTATTTTAATTACTAACTTTTGAAAACCAAGTAAGATTGTATTTTTACCTGTGACTGTATAGTATAAGATGGCAAATTATAGTTCCTTTTGCCCTAATATAGAATCATCCCTGCTCATTGGCTAGCCAGCATTTGCTCAAACAACTTGTAAACTCATGTTCTCACAAGGTAATTCATTCTTTAATTTGGAAATGCTAATTGTTAGAAAATTTTCTTATATTGAACCAAAATTTGCTTTCCCATAAGTTAATCCTTGTGAAGTAAGTCTGAAGCTCCCAGAAGTTTTGTGTGTGTTTTTTTAAGACTACTCTATTTATAGATTGTGGTTTCTAGACATCCTCCTAGTTCTCCTTGTATAAACTCTGGGTTTGGGTCTTAAAGTTTAATACTTTTTTGTTTGTTGGATTTGTTTCTTAATTCATTAAAATGTTTTCTATTAAATATCTAGTAGAAATAATGTAATAGTACTATAAGACTAAAAAACAGCAGTCTCCTTTCTCCTAATTTCTACTTCCCAGAGGTTCCTTCAGTCTAGAAATTTGTGTCCTTCTAGTCTGGAAGGCTTTCTATTATTTCCTTTTATTTTCTTCTTTTTTCTTTCACTCCTCCTGGAGTTCTCTTATTTGGATGTTAGGGTTCCATTACCTACTTTCCTGTTTTCCATTTCTTGCTTCTCTGCTTTCTGGGAGATTTTCTCAATTTTATCTTTAACTCTTCTGTGGATTTTTTCATTTTTATCAAATCCATTTCCAACAGCTCTTTTTCTTCTCTATTTCTGTAGCATTCTATTCTTCTTTGATGGATGTTGTACATACGGTGTGCTTAGTGGTCTTTGTATTGCTTCTGTTTGCTCCAAATTTCTTACAATATTAACTTTTTTCATCCTTAAAAGGGATCTTTAAGTTAGTTTCTGTTATTCCCATTTTACAGATAAGGAAACTGAGATGCAGGAGTGATGACACATGGTCATAGAAGTAGACAACAGCAGAGCTAGGATTTGAACCCAGCAGTCTTGAAGCTCTTGAGTTTACACTGACAGCCTCTGCACTGTAATGATTCTGCATCATTAAGTTTCAGAATGATTGGCAAGGACCGGGGGCAAGAACAGAGCCCTACGGAATGTTGTTAGAGGCCTCCCTGTCAGCTGACATAAGTTCATTCATCACCACTTCTTGTTTCACTAGTTACAAGTCTACTTTCAGACCCTGTTTCTTTCCCTTGTCCCTGGGGTTCCAAAAATCTTGGTCATATGACTCCAGAAGTTCAAGGTCTGAGACTCCAAGAGGAAATGGACGGGACATTGACTCTAGAGTGACACCGACCTGAGATACAGCCCTGTCGTGTCCTACTCCTACCTGTGTGGCTTTGGCACATTAGTTAAGCTTCTCTGGACTCAGTTTCTATAAAACAGTGAAAATAATATTTAACTTGCTGAGTAGGTGTCAAGTAAAGTACACTGTAGGCCAGCCGTGGGCAAACTATTATCTGCCAGTCTAGTAATCCTCGTTTCAACGAATAAAACTAAAAAAAAAAAAAAAAAAGACCATACCCTTATATGGAATGATGTTTACTTTGAATTTATATTAGTTCACTGGCACATTAGTTAAGCTTCTCTGGACTCAGTTTCTATAAAACAGTGAAAATAGTATTTAAGTTGCTGAGTAGTTGTCAAGTAAAGTACACTGTAGGCCTTCAATAAATGGTAGCTATTATCTGCCAGTCTAGTAATCCTTTCAAAGAACTTAGAACGTTAAGATAGCTGGTTTATTTTTATGAACTCTTGCTAGCTCTATAATTGTTTCCTCTCTCTATAGCTCACAAAGCAGCTGTTTGATACCGTGTTCTAGAATTTTGTATTAAATCAATATCAAGATCATCAGCTTGTAGGTTTTGGCACTCCCTTTACAGTTTTTTTGAAAATTAGAACAATGTTTGCTTGTCTTCACTCTTCCATCAACTAGATGCTTCAGATACCATTGAGATCTTGTTTGCTTTGTATTCTGAAGTGTAATCTGTCCAGACAAGAAGACTTGACCTTCTTTCCAATGGCTTTATCTTTCTCTGAGCCTGTCTTGGCTTTCATTTCCTTCAGACCATTATTTATTCTCCTCTTTCCAATCTCATGCCCATTCTCCTTGCGGAGAAAACAGAAGAAAGTAGGAATTCATCAATTCCACTTTTACCATGTCATACCTCACGCTCCTGTTTACATCAGTCATTAGTAAGAGTCCACATTTCCCAACTCATTCTCACACAGGTGCTTCTTCCCACATTGCTCTGTACACCCCCTAATCTGTCCTGTCTTCCTCTCCTCTCTGCCTTTTAGACCCTTTAACTCAGTGGTTCTCAACCTTCCTGCCACGACCCTTTAATACAGTTCCTCATGTTGTGGTGACCCCCAATCATAAAATTACTTTCGTTGCTACTTCATAACTGTAATTTTGCTACTGTTATGAATCGTAATGTAAATATCTGATATCAGGATGTATTTAGGCGGCCCCTGTGAAAGGGTCGTTTGACCCCCAAAAGGGGTCGCGAACCAAAGGTTGAGAAACACTGCTAACTGACTGCGCTTGGTCAGCAATTACCCAGTAGCCTCATTCTCTTCTTTGAACATTTTCTTTCTCTTATTTCTCTGATTGTCTCCTGTTTCCTCTGCAGCCCACCGACTGCTCTTTCTCCTGTGTACCTTTGGCCCTAAGCGTAGAGTAGGCATCTTACTTGCTTCCCTAACCCATTTGTTTCCTTCATCAAAAGCCTCACCTTCTTTGACATTCTATTTCTTAGTTACATGGGTTCAACAAAATGTGGAGTGGGCGGGCTGGATTCAGATACCCAACTACTGTCATCTGGAATTTCTCTCACACCTGCCTTCTCTGACCTCTGTGCTGTCTCATCTCTCCATCTCAATCCTCCATTTCTTTCTATCTCTGTTTTATGCTTCCCCTGTATTAGTCTTATTTCCAAGGTGTGTTTCCCTATGTGGTGGCGGAGAGGGCCACCAGCAGCCTGTCCAGCTTGTTGATAAGAGAGGTCCTCTTTTCTGGCCAGCCCAAGAACTTGACCTGATTCTCATTGAGCTGACTTACCTCAGGTGCCCACTGAGGGAGTGGGGCAGGGATGGTCTCCAAAGAGAAGTCTGGGTGCTGTGCTGTTACCATTGAAAGGAAGCTTGGGTCCGGCCGGTGGGGTCACTGGTTCGAATCCCAGTCAGAGCACATGCCTGGGTTGCAGGCTCGATCCCCAGTAGGGGGGCGTGCAGGAGGCAGCTGATTGATGTTTCTCTCTCTTCCTCTCTCTCTAAAATCAATTGGGGGAAAAAATGGGTTAGGGAAGCAAGTAAGATGCCTACTCTACCCTTAGGGCCAAAGATACACAGGAGAAAGCAGTCGGTGGGCTGCAGAGGAAGTAGGAGACAATCAGAGAAATAAGGGAAAGAAAATGTTCAAAGAAGAGGATGAGGCTACTGGGTAATTGCTGACCAAGCGCAGTCAGTTAAAGGGTCTAAAGGGCAGAGCAGTCAGTTAAAGGGTCTAAAGGGCAGAGAGGAGAGGAAGAGAGAACAGACTAGGGGGTGTCCAGAGCAATGTGGGAAGAAGCATCTGTGTGAGAATGAGTTGGGAAATGGGGGTGGGGTGAAGAGTCCTTGCCTGTGCAGCCCTTTATAATATATTTTGTGTGGGCACAAAATACACCTGAAGTTAGTAAAAAATCATAGTAAATTGATAAAACTTTATCTTCCAACGACCTTGGTTACCCTAAGAGAAATATTAAGAATTAACATGAAATAACGTCGTTACAGGTTCTCATGATATAGAATTAGAGACAATCTGATTTCATATTATTTCACGGGCAGATAGTAAGGACAGTATAAAGTTGTTTATAATTTTGTTTTTATTTTTTTATTATTTTTTTAATATATATTTTATAGATTTTTTACAGAGAGGAAGGGAGAGGGATAGAGAGTTAGAAACATCGATGAGAGAGAAACATCGATCAGCTGCCTCCTGCACGCCTCCTACTGGGGATGTGCCCGCAACCAAGGTACATGCCCTTGACCGGAATCGAACCTGGGACCCTTCAGTCCGCAGGCTGATGCTCTATCCACTGAGCCAAACCAGTTAGGGCTATAATTTTGTTTTTAAATTACTTCAGATTTTACATGCATGGCTTTGAAAAACTTGTCTTTTTTGTTTTCAAGGTACAATATTAACACCATAATTACTTTACAGGTAGACAGATAAGTTTGCAGCAGCAGCTTATTCAAGTGATGGACCACATTTGTAACTTAGTTGATGCTATTCCTGATGATGAACTGAAAGCTTTGGATTGTGGGAACGATCTGCTTCAGCAGCGAAACATACGGTACCTTGATTTTTCTCCTTCTGGAGTATATCTGGCTGCATTGCCACCACTCTATATCAGAAACGTACAGGGCAAAATGGTTAGCATTCTGAATAGATATTTTAAATTTATTTACTTTTTTAAAAATATATTTTATTGATTTTTTACAGAGAGGACGGGAGAGGGATAGAGAATTAGAAACATCGATCAGCTGCCTCCTGCACACTCCCCACTGGGTATGTGCCTGCAACCAAGGTACATGCCCTTGACCGGAATCGAACCTAGGACCCTTGAGTCCGCTGGCCGACGTTCTATCCACTGAGCCAAACCGGTTAGGGCTTCCTTTAGTATTTTATCCAAATTTTTGAAATTGGAAAAAAGAGAATGTATTTTGCCACAACTTGGGATGAGAACTAAAGATATACTTGTGTGGCCTACCGTGGCAGACTACTCACACTTACATGGTGTTGTGTGTTTTCTCTTCAGAAGGAAACTCCTGGCTGAAGCAGATTTTAACCCAAGTGATGCCAGTGTCCTTGGCTCAATGTGGAGGTGCAGGCCCGATGCCCTTGGTAACCCCATGGAGGACATGCCATCTGTTTCCTTGCCGTATGCGTTTTCAAGGGGCGATTCCTGCCCTACAGCGAGTTCTGATGAATTACATTTTCCGCCCATTCCCTCAAATTCCATTTCTTCTGGGGGATGTTTGCTGACTCCCCCAGGAAAGACAGGGTTCTCGGTCACCAAGAAGAACCTCTTTGAAAGACCATTATTCAATTCCCATTTACAGAAGTCCTTTGTGAGTAGCAACTGGGCTGAAACACCAAGAACAGAAAAAAGAAACGAAAGCTCTCATTTTCCAGGAAGTGTTCTTACAAGCACTGCTGTGAAAGATCAGAATAAACATACTGTTTCCACAGATGACTTAGAAAGGGAAATCCAGGCCTCCTGTGAGATTGATAATTTTGACATAGATGACTTAGATGATGATGATGAGTGGGAAAATATAATGCATGGCTTAGCAACGAACAAGTCTTCCACAGCTGCCTATCCGCCTATTAAGGAAGGTCGGCCCGTTAAATCAGTATCAGAAAGAATATCTCCAACCAAGACAAACTGCCTCCCTGTGACACCTGCTGCTCAAAATAAAAACTTTTCGGGGTCAATGCAAAAATGTAAGTGTATATTTTAGAATTCTGACTTGATGAGAACTGATCAATTTATCAAGTAGAGAAATGTTTATGTCTCAAAAATATTAAAATACAGGGCAGTTGAAGACAGATTTCAAGTCACATTTCTTTTGTTGTTGTTATTTATTATTTTTTTAAATCTTTAATGTTGAAAGTATTACATATGTCCCCCCCCATTGACTCCCTCCAGTCCTCCTCGCCCCCCTCCCTAGGCCTTCACCACCCCATTGTCTGTGTCCATGAGTTATGCATCTGTGCATAAAGGTCTTTGGTTTATTACCTTCCATCCACATACCCTCCCCGTCTTCCCTTTGAGATTCCGCCCTCTGTTCCATGCTTCCATGTCTCTGGATCCACTCAGTTCATCAGTTTATTTTGTTAATTGGATTCCACATATGAGTGAGATCATGTGATACTTGTCTTTCTCTGACTGACTTATTTCACTTAGCATGATACTCTCCAGGTCCCTCCATGCTGTCTCAAAGGGTAAGAGATTCTTCCTTTTTACTCCTGCATAGTATTCCATGGTATAAACATACCACAGCTTTTTTATCCACTTATCTACGGATGGGCTGTTTCCAGATCTCAGCTGTTGTAAATTGTGTGAAGTTACATTTCTTAAATCATCAAATTATTTCTTTTGGCCTAGACTCCTTTTAATTCATTCAGTAAATATTTATTGAGTGCCCACTATGTGCATGTTCTGCTCTAGGTTCTGGTAATGGATAAATGATGAATAGTTCCTGCCCTCTTGGAGTTCACAGTTTAGTGAGGGAAGTTTTTGGAGGAATGAAATTAGCCACTGTAAAGGCTGCAGAGAAAAGCCAAAATTAATTTAAAACCTTACATCAATCCTATAAAGTTATCACAAAGTGTTGTTTTTTTTAACTCAAACAAGTGTAGATGTACAACGTTCTGTAAAGTACAGCCCTCTCTATTTTTGTTATTGATGACTTAATACCACGGAGGTTGTTCTTATAGTTACACTGTTGACCTTTAAATAACCTTTAATGGGTTTATTTTTGTATGCTGTTAGAATGTGTCATACTTGACGTTCGCAATTATCTTGAGATAGTTGAGCGTTGGGGTTGGAGTAACTGCCAAAGCTGGCGTGGGCTCTAAGTCTCTGTGTTGAACCAAAGTTGCGACAGCAAAGATGGAGAGCAGGGGGCAGAAGTGAGTGACATTGTGGAAGAAGAATCAGGAAGCTGAGATGACTGAGTTTTCTGACTGGGTGACTGGGAAATATGACACCATTAACAGAAATAGGGGAGTCAGGAGACAGGCAGATTTGGAGAAAAGCTGAGGAGGGCTATTTCAAGACTTGTTGAGCTTACAGTTTTGGTAAGTCATTTAGGTAGAAATGTCTTGCAGACAACTGTAGATGCATATAGGACTGGAACTTAGGAGTAGATCAGTCAGTTTTTTTTGTTTGTTTGTTTTTTAAAATATATTTTATTGATTTTTTACAGAGAGGAAGGGAGAGGGATAGAGAGTTAGAAACATCACTGAGAGAGAAGCATCGATCAGCTGCCTCCTGCACGCCTCCTACTGGGGATGTGCCCGCAACCAAGGTATAGGCCCTTGACCAGAATCGAACCTGGGACCCTTCAGTCCGCAGGCCGATGCTCTATCCACTGAGCCAAACCGGTCAGGGCGGGTCAGTCAGTTCTTAGAGAGATCTCTGCCTTCTGTGCACACAGGTGATGCTGAAGATCATAGGACTAGGAAAATTCCAAAAAAGAGCATCTAGAGATCCCAGCCCCAGTGTCTGAAAGACTTCCAACTTTCAGGGGCAGGTGGAGGAAGTGGAACCAAGAAAGGGAATTTAAATCCAAAGATGTCTCGAAGGTCAGTTAAAAGAGGAGAGGAAAGAGGAAATAGAGTAGTGGTAGTGCTGTAGAAAAACCAAGGAAAGACTTGAATTTGGCCCTTAGGAAGTTTTTGGTGGCCTTGACACTTATATGGAAGGAAATTCGGTACATGGTTAAAGAAGGAATTTGCTGTCGGGAAAGGCATGTCAGTGATTATGCAGGGCAGAGTAAACGCTGAAACTGACTTGTGACATTAATGCACTGCTTTTTCTGAACATTGATTATTTTCTTAGACCAGTCGACGCAAAATTTACCATCCAGAAATCTGAATCACGAGCATTTCCAACGTCTTAATTTTCCTCATACAAAAGAAATGATGAAGATTTTTCATAAAAAATTTGGTCTCCATCATTTTCGAACTAATCAGCTCGAGGCGATCAATGCTGCACTGCTTGGTGAAGACTGTTTTATCTTAATGCCCACTGGTATGTATTTTTAGATATGAGTTGGCAGGAATCCATTGGCAGATGTGAAATGAAAGCCCTTTACTAGAAATAAAAAGAGCACCGACAGTATTTCTATCATTTATGGGCCTCTAAACCTCCCATGCCATAGTAAGAAAGTGTATTACCTCATACCCTCTGTTCTAGTTGTTGACATGATAACATTTATAGCCCTTTAAGATTTTCAACTCAAAGCTCGTCGTGTTGAACTGATATAGAATTTCTCTTTGGGGATTTTTCTTTTCCTAGTCTAAATTAGTCTGGAACATGAATAAAAATGTAGGACTGGAATAGAGACGTGACCATTTCTGGCAGTTTATTTGTGACAGTCTAGTGATCTATGGTGGTTAAAACCATCAGCTCTGGATTGGTGGCCTGGACTCAAAGCGCAGCCCTGCCATTTCTTAGCAGAGTGACCTTGAGCAAGGCACTTCGTTCCTTGGACCCCACATGTGCACTGGGGATAATAATAAAGAACCTGCCTCACAGAGTGTTACGAGAATTAAATGAAAAGCATTTAGCATAGTTCTTCCTTGGCCTGTTTTGAAGAGATCCAGGACTTTTCATTGTGCTGTAAACGTTTATAACAGCTGTTCAATGATTTATAGTCATCCAAGTCAGACTATTAAATAAGCAGTTAGGATAAGAACCAGGGGGAGTTTGGAGTTTCAGTGCTTGCACATGTAATCTTCCCTAGGCCGTCTATTCTCCTTGTTGTGACCTTAAGCAGTTAGTAATTGCCATCATTGTTTAATCGTATTATCTGGCTATCTGAAGTTTTTTCAAACTGATTTTAAAATTTAGGTGATGTTCGATTAATAATCATTTCCTGTTTCATTAACTTGTTTACTCTGTGCTCTGTGTCCACTCCAAGTTGGTACTCCAAAACTAAAGCAGGAAAGGACCCTGGGTCATCCACTGGTTTTGGGGGGCTTCCCATGGTCCTTTGGGTTTCAAAGGGGTGTTTTTGTTGTTATTGTTAATCCTCACCCAAGGATATTTGTTTTTCATTGATTTCTTTTATAGAGAATGGAAGGGAGAGAAACATATCGGTTGGTTGCCTCCTGCACACACCCCGACTGGGGCCAGGATCGAACCTGCAACCTAGGCATGTGCCCTTGACTAGGAATCGAACACTCAACCCTTCAGTGTAAGGCCCAACACTCTAACCATTAAGCAACACTGGCCAGGGCTGGGGTGGGTGTTTATGTGTCCTTCCACTCCAATTTAACCTCTTGGTATTGTGTGTGTGTGTGTGTGTAGTTTATTTTCGACAAAATTTGTAAGCTACTGATCTAGTACATGTTGGACATGATAAAGTTGAGGCGTGATAAGGTTGAATGGCATGTCTAAGTCACATAACCTATTAAGTGGTAGAACTGAAACTAGAACTCAGCTTCCTGGTCTTGCCATGACATTTACACATAAATACCAAAGAGAAATTTATTTACTACACATGCAGAAAAGATGGACTGTTTTGTTTAATAAAAAAAAAAAAAAAATCGAAGTCCTAGAAACTGCCTAGCACAAATTTCTATTATTAGTGGGCTGATGAAGTTGAAAATTAGGGATTAATCATTTCAGTTACCATTAAATGTGTACTGATTGTCTTGCCATTTTGAATTAGAGTTACATGCAGAGAGATCCCCACCCCACCCCACCTTTTGATCTCAAAAGAAATTTCTTTCTCTTCATCCTCTGTTAATGCACACAAATATAGTTCTACCCTTTACTTCAAAGGAAGATTGGGGATATTACCCTATGGATAAGAGTACAGGAAGTATTCATACTAGTGGTTTAACAAAAGAGATTCTAGCCTGCGGACTGAAGGGTCCCAGGTTCGATTCCGGTCAAGGGCATGTACCTGGGTTGTGGGCACATCCCCAGTGGGAGATATGCAGGAGGCAGCTGATCGATGTTTCTCTCTCATCGATGTTTCTAACTCTCTATCTCTCTCCCTTCCCCTCTGTAAAAAATCAATTAAAAAAAAAAAAAAGAGTACAGAGAGTATTCATACTAGTGGTTTAACAAAAGAGATTCTAGAAGTGCCCTCTGGATCATCAAAGAAATACTAAACCATGTTAACTGTGGGTTTTAATATTGTATATTTTATCACATTTTAACTCTTTAAAATGAAATATATGAAACTAGTGTCCCGGTGCACGAAATTCGTGCGGCTGCAGGGGTAGTCCCTCAGCCCGGCCTGCACCCTCTCCAATCTGGGACCCCTCAGGGGATGTCCGACTGCTGGGCCTAACCTGGCAGTCAGACATCCCTCTCGCAATCCAGGACCACTGGCTCCTAACCGCTCGCCTGCCTGCCTGATTGCCCCTAACCACTCTGTCTGTCGGCCTGCTCGCCCCCAATGGCTCCCCCCGCCCCACCAGCCTTCTCATCCCAAACTGCCCCCCCCCTTGTCGGCCTGATCACCCCCAATTGCCCTCCCCTCCAGGCCTGATTACCCCTAACCGCCTCTGCCTCGGCCCCACCACCATGGCTTTGTCTGGAAGGTCTCCCAGTCTAATTAGCACATTACCCTTTTATTAGTATAGATAATTATTTTAATCCTAGAATCATAACTAGAGTGCCTTTTATACTGCATTTGGATTTCCCAAGTAGACTTCTAGAGCAATTCTATTGCATTTAAGCTTTCCGCCCTGATTCTTGCTTTTGCTATCATATGTACCTACATGAGATGTCCTGAAAGATAATCTTTACACATTTAAATTGTCTAAGTATTTTGACTCATTTGAATATGGCAAATTGTGGCACCATAGGGGATATCACTTGGGATTCTGTTAATTATCTTAAATATTGTGTGTGGTTTACTTCGTAACTTTTGCCTTCATGCTCTCAAGATAGGACCTGACAGGTATTTCTTTGTCATTTCTCTTTCAGGAGGTGGTAAAAGTCTGTGTTACCAGCTCCCTGCCTGTGTTTCTCCTGGGGTCACGATTGTCATTTCTCCCTTGAGGTCACTTATCGTAGATCAAGTCCAAAAGCTGACTTCATTGGATGTAAGTTAAAAAAATTCTACCAATTACAATAAAAATGCTCATAAAAATATAACTTAAAAATAATTATATTTTAGTACTCTGGGCTGCCTTTTTATTTAATAGTTTGTGAATTATAAGAATAAAGTACAGCTATTACATTAAGTTGTACATTTAAGCTCAAGTCTGAAAACTCTCATACAGATAACCTTCCATCTGATTTTATTCTAGGAGAATGTATTTTAGTAAGAACTTTTAACTTGTACTTTGCTGATATAAAAAATTTTTTATTTAATATGAAAGGAGGGTTTTTTTATTACTGCCAGATCAGCATAGTTCTTATCTTACTACCTTAACGTCTTAAAATGCATACACATGCACGTACCCACACGTGTGTCCTTTTTCCTCCTGGCTGAGATTACAATGGTATATGGATTCATTCTACTAAATCCTGCATATTGTGATCAAACAATTATTTTCAGGGTTATGAGCCACTACCTTTTTCTTTTTTTTTTTATGTTGGATTTCTTTTTCTTTTTTTATTTCAGAGAGGAAGGGAGAGGGAGAAAGAGAGATAGAAACATCAATGATGAGAATCATTGATCAGTTGCCTCTTGTACGCCCCCTACTGGGGATCCAGCCAGCAACCCGGGCATGTGCCCTTGACCAGAATTGAACCTGGGACCCTTCAGTCTGCAGGCTGACGCTCTATCCACTAAGCCAAACAGGCTAGGGCACCACTACCTTTTTCAACAAGACCGCTGGTTTGATTCTTCTTCCAAAGAATGTCTTAGTGCAGTGATGATAGCCGTTGTTAAGTCAGTCCTGATGTTATGGCCCTTGCATCACTGTTACCCATTAAAACCCTGAATACACATTTACCTAAAAAAGAATGTAGCTATACATGAGGACTATACTTTTGGATGCTGAATTCATATTTATATTACTTACAAACATGAAAAGCAAAGGAAGTAAAGGAAAGCGAAAAAAGAAAAAGTATTAATCAATGAAAAGAATATTTTAAATTGTAGTTAGTAAGGGTTTTTAAAAAATGTACTATGTGCTTATTGTTATTTTTATTACATTGAGATTATCTTTCCTCTGATAGGTTTGACATGTAACTTGTAAAATATTTATAAAAACTAAGGATAAATATAAGCTTAAATCAGATTAATGTGTAAAATTTACATTGTTTACTACTTTAATACTTAGATTCCAGCTACATATCTGACAGGTGATAAGACCGACTCAGAAGCTACAAGTATTTACCTCCAGTTATCAAAAAAAGACCCAATTATAAAACTTCTGTATGTTACTCCAGAGAAGGTTTGTATTTTATCATTATTTTAAAATATGAGAGAGCTGTGTTAGTAAAACAATTCAGTTCTCCCTCTTGAGTATGGAAAATCCAGCCTTTCCCTCCTCTGTTCCTCTCCTTTATTCCTCACATAGAATACTTCCTTCTCCTCATCCAGTGTGTGGAGGTTTTTTCCTTACACCAAGCAATTCTTGTGACACCGGCCGATTGTCCTATAATTTAACTCAGTTCTGACATTGCCCACCCAGGGATAGTGTCAGGTCCCACAGGTTAAGGGCTCAGTCCAACCCGATTGATTCCATCCAGGTCACCCATAACTTCTCTGATTTGGCTATAAATCAGAAGGTCTTATGACTCCCTTCCCAGTTCCCATTAATTTGCTATAGCAGCCCGTAGAACTCAGGGCAGTGCTTAAGTTCACCAGTTTACTAAAGGACATGATAAAAATACAGATGAACAGCCAGATGAAGAAAAATGCTGGGTGAGGTCTGGGGAGGTCCAGAGCACAGGAGCTTCTGTCCTCATGCAGTTGGGGGTGTCACCCTCCTGGTGCGGATGTGTTTGCCAACCCGGAAACTCTGAGTCCCATACTTTGGGGATTTGATTTAGGCTCCCCCATGCAAGCACGATCAATTATTAAATCTAGTTCTAGCCCCTCTCCCCCTGTCTGGAGGATGCGGGGTGGCGCTGCAAATTCCAAGGTTCTAATAATGGCTTGGTCTTGGTGGTGACCAGCCCCCACCCAGGATCCCCCCAGACTCGACTCTGGAGTAAAAAGATGCTCCTAGCGCTCTTATCACTTAGGAAATTGCAAGGATTTCAGGAGCTCTGTGCCAGACACTGGGGTGGAGACCAATATATTTTTTCTATTATCTCCTAAAAGCTCACTAGAATACATACATTTTTCAATTTTGACATATTTCTGGTATATAGTATAGTGCAAGAATTCCTGTATGACTTTCACCCAGAAACTCCAAATGTTAACTTTTACTGTGATTGCTTTATCATTCTATTTTTTTTAATATTTGAAAGTAAGTTGTAGACATGATATATCCTTTTAACCTTAAATACTTCGCCATGCATTTCATAAAAACAAGGAATTCTCTTGCATAACAGTATAATGATCAAAATCAGAAAGTTTTCATTGATACAACACTATTATTTAGTCTATGAACTTCAATTTCACTAGTTGTCCTAATAATGTCCATTATAGCAAAAGAAATTCCTAGAATATGCATTTAGTTGTCATGTCTCTTTAAATAATTTGTCTTTCATGATTTTGACAATTTTTAAAAAATATATTTTTATTAATTTCAGAGAGGAAGGGAGAAGGAGAGAGAGAGAGATAGAAACATCAATGATAAGAGAGAATCATTGATTGGCTGCCTCCTGCACGCTCTCCGCTAGGGATTGAGCCAGCAACCTGGGCATGTGCCCTTGACCAGAACTGAACCTGGGACCCTTTAGTCTGCAGGTTGATGCTTTATCCACTGAGCCAAACTGGCTAGGGCAATTTTGATACTTTTGAAGAGTGAAGGCCAGTTATTTTGAGAACTGTCCCTCAATTTAAGTTTATCTTATGTTTCCTAGTGATTAGATTCAAGTTATTCATCTTGGCAGGCACATCAGAAGTGGTGATAAGTTCTCAGTGCATCCTATCAGGAGGCATTTGATGTCAGTTTATTCTGTTATTGATGATGTTAGTTAACCTAGTCACCTAGGTAAGGTGGTGTCTGCCAGACTTCTTCACTGTAAAATTACTTTTTTCTCTTTTTTTGTCATAAATGTAAGTTTTTTTGGTTATTTTCTGCCTTTGTAATAGTAGATAATTGTTGTGGGATATTCTAAAACTGTGTAAATATCCTGTTATTCATCAGACTTTTACCTAATAGTTTTATCATGCATTGATGATTCCCCTTTAGTTATTACTATAATGGCTGCCAAATGATGATTTTTCTAATTAGTTGGCATTTTACTATAACAAATAGCTTTCCCTTTTACCTATATATTTACTTATATTAGTATGAAATTACGGAATTTTAACTTATATAGTAGGCTAGCATCTATTTTTGTTATATAATTTGATGTTCTAATTTGGCCAATGGGAGAGCTTCATCGAACTGGCCTCTGTGTCCTTTTGACATGCCTGTTAAGATGAGGGTGCCAGATGTCATTGCTTCTAGGCCCTGTCATGGACAGAGCTATGAAATATATACATACATACAATATGTATATATATATGTGTGTGTGTGTGTGTATTCCCCTCCCCAAGTAACAAGCATGCAGGTAACGCATCCATAGCACTGTTCCCAGTGTAAACATGGCCCTCAGGTATGCTGAGGTCCAAAGTTTTAGAACCACTGACCTGATACATAACTGTTTGCTAAACATCCTAAAATGTCTCTGCTATTTTCTATCACTTCTGCTAATTCTCTTCATAGCCTATATAATAAAGAGCTAATATGCTAATTAGACCTGATGGCTGAACGACCTTCCAGAATGACCAGTGGGCAGGGCGGGGGGTGGAGGCGGGGGCCGCCGGGCAGCTGGGGCTGTGAAGGCCTACTCTTGCACGAATTTCGTGTATTGGGCCTCTAGTAATGGAATAAGAACCAGTTCTCTCTGAAGGTTTTAATGGAGTTTAAGTTGCAGTGGAACTTAAAGACTACAGAATCCTTGAGGTGAGGTGATGTTTAAATCTTTTTAAATGTCTAATTAATCCGTTTCTGACCTAGGTCTGTGCAAGTAACAGGCTGATTTCTACCCTGGAGAATCTGTATGAGAGGAAGCTCTTGGCACGGTTTGTTATTGATGAAGCACATTGTGTCAGTCAGGTAAATACTATATTTTATGTCTTGAAATGTTGATAAATGTATACCACCAACAGTATATATATTTTCAGAACTAAAGAGAGAAAAAACATTGGGTGAATTATTCTATTTCACTGAAGAATATTCTATTTCACTGAGGTGGTCCTGAATGTGGTGAGCAGTATTTGCTTTGTATAAACGAAAGATTCAAATGGTCTGAAAAGCGGGTTTTTCTCTCAACTAGTGGGGACATGATTTTCGTCAGGATTACAAAAGAATGAATATGCTTCGCCAGAAGTTTCCCTCTGTTCCAGTGATGGCTCTCACTGCCACAGCTAATCCCAGGGTGCAGAAGGACATCCTCACTCAGCTGAAGATCCTCAGGCCTCAGGTGTAAGTTGTTGAAAGTCGTGCATTTCGAACCCTGGGGCAGTGGTTCTCAGTTTGCTACACATTATAATAATCTACGGAGCTTTGAAAATCCCAGTGCCCAGGTTGTGCCTGATGCCAATTAGCTCAGAATTTGGGGGCTGGAAACCAGTAGGTTTTTAAAAATCCTTAAGTGAACCATCCTTTTCTTGGGGTGGCGTTACTGTCCAATTAGGGTATAGTGAGGGCAGTACTGCTAACGCCTTTAAAAAAGAAAATCCCCAGGTGATTACAATATATAGCAAAATTTGGGAACCAGGGCCCTAAGGGCTTTTCTTCACTTACTGAAATGAAAACTTTCTCTTGTTACCTATTTTGTAGGTAGGGATAAAATTCATGCTGTTCCTGTTAGCCCTGGGATCGTCCCAGTAATAAATTAGCTTTTATTTACCTGATTTTGGCTCCCATACATCCTAGAATATACATCATGCAATGAACCAATGACCCTGCTTTGTCCTTTTTCTCTGGAGTCCCAGTGACGCCCAGAATGTTGAAAATAGTCCAGAAACTATGTATAACAGCTTTTTTAACTTTGTTTCCATCTCAACAGCAAAGGGCTTCTTATTGGCACCAAATCCATAATTATTCAGTAATAAAAACCACAACAGTAAAATGCCCCGCATATATAGGGTGTACTGGATTAGTTTGTATCTCTGCATGAGTTTGTAGACACAAGCGCATTCTCTGATAGGTTCATTCACTCAGCAAATAATTACTTAACAGCTATTGTGTACCAAGGTTACAATATTTCTTCCTTCCAATTTGTTAATGGGTGTTTGAGTTTGAGGAAAGCCTGAAGGAATGACTAATATATTGGGGTGATTTTTTTTTTAAGTGCACCTTTTGTTCATTTGGAAATAAAGAGAATAAGCTGGCTCTATCAATATGGTAAAAACAATAGCAGCATCTCTCAGTGGGTTATAAGAAGAACTGGAAGTGCCACATGAAGGATATGAGGGGTCATGAGATTAAGGTAGCTACAAAGACCTTTGCAGATTAAACTGGCGTGCGTTTGTTTTTGTTAATCCGCACCCGTGGATACATTGATTTTTAAAGGGAGTGGAAGGGAGGGTGGGGAGATAGAGAGAGAGAGAAACATCAATGTGGCTGGGATCGGGCCTGCAACCCACGTACATGCCCTTGACTGGGAATTGAACCTGGACCCTTTGATCCTTGGGCTGATGCTCTAAGCACTGACGCTCTAACGGCCAGGGCTAAACTGGCGTTCCTGAGTGCAAGAATTTCCAGGTACTCAGTTTTTTGTGTGTGATTTCACTTGCAGAGGGGAGTTTGTATAAAATTGGGGAGAAGTATATTTTGCTTCCATAATTGATAAACATTGCATGATAGTTAAGGTGTCATACTTTAGGTTTTAGTGAATAACCTACATACTAGAAATTCGCTTCTACAAGTACTGCATTGGTCTGTGAAAGCTTTTTCTTTTTTTAGATAGGCAATATTTTTAGCTTTTTTCCCTTCAATTTATGCGAGAAGCAATCTACTGTTCCTTTTGATCAGTAATATTTTCCAGATGCCCGACAGTTAAATCATATAAGTTCAGTTCAATTAGCCTTTTCTAATATATATATATATATATATATATATATATATATGAGAGAATCGTTGATCGGCTGCCTCCTGCACGCCCCTACTGGGGATCAAGCCTGCAATCCAGGCATGTGTCCTGACGGGAAGTCAAACTGTGACCTCCTGGTTCATAGGTCGACCCTCAACCACTGAGCCACACCGGCTGGGCTCAATTCACCTTTTGAATAACTTTTTGTTAGTATAGAATTTGTCGTTTTGCTTGAGTAAACATTGCACAAATATAGTTAGAAGCAGACACCTTTAATATCTTTTCCTAGTAGTGTGAGGAGATCTCCTTGCAAAAGCAATAGATTATACATTTCCTGAGTCTAGCATGTGGTGCCCGGTGCATAATTGGCACTTGTTAAGAATGAATAAATGAAACATATGGAGGAATTTGGGTAAATGTGGGTAAAATGTGAAAATTTGGGCAAGTCTGTTGACTCTTTAATATATTTGGTACTTCTATATTTGGGGAGGTTTAAATTTCTTAGTGGAAGTACAAAATTTTAATGAACACTTTCTGATACATTTTTTCCTGCTCTTCTTTTCTGCCAGTAAGCCCTTTGTTTGCATTCAATTTGCCCAACTGCTGATGTGTCATGACCCTGAAGAAGGCAGTTATCCTAAGGTTTGGAGCTATGGCTCCCATGCTCCTCTCCTTATGCTCATCTGTGATGTTATTCTTCCTCTTTGGGAAATACAAGGATGGATAATAAACTTTCCCTTTCCCTTAGGACCGAGAAATACGAACTGAGGAAGAGACAAACATATGGACAGTTAATACAACAATAATAATGTAATAATACAACAGTAATAACAGCTAACACTTTTACACATCTAGCCTCTACAGTGTGCAGGGTACTATTGTTGGCATTTTGTGTATTAACTCATCCACACAAAAGTCTTAGGAAGTAGATCCTCCCATTTTTCTCACTTTATGGATGAGGAAACAGGCACAGCAATTAAACAACTTGAACAAGGTCACATACCTAGCGAGCGCTGGAGTAAGGACTTAAACCCAAACAATCTGTTTTCAGCACCCTTTAAATTCTCTCCAAATTGCAGAATGAAGTCAGTGGTGATTAGAAGTGTAAATTATTACTGCAGGAACTCAGAAAGCCAAGATTAACTATAACCCAAAGTAACAACTATTAGTGAAGAGGGGTCAGACAGGGTTTTATAAAGGAAGTGGGTTTTGTAGGATGAGTGGTCTTTTAAAAATTTTAAACATCTTTATTGAGTTATAATGTCAATATCTAAAAATTCATCTATTTAAAGTATATAATTCTGTGATTTTTAAAATTTTTTATTTTTTTAGTTTATTCACAGGGTTGTGCAGTCCCACCACTATCTAATTTTAGCACATTTTTGTCTCCCTTAAAAGAAACTCCATACACATTAGCAGTTAATTGCCAGCATCCTCCACCTTCCCAGCTCTAGACAACCGCTTATCGGCTTTCTATCTCTAGATTTTTGCCTGTCCTGGACATTTCATTTAAATAGAATCATATACTCTGTTGCCTTTTGTGAGTGCCCTTTTTCACTTACCATCATGTTTTCAAGGTTCATCCATGTTGTAGCATGTATCAGTACTTCTTTCTTATTGACGACTGTCCCATTGTATGGATAATCTGCGTTTTATTTATTCATCATGGGGTGAATATTTGAGTTGTTTCCATTTTTTGGCTATTAGGAATAATGCTATGAGCATTTGTGTACAAGTTGTCATGTGGACATGTGTTTTTATTTCTCTGGGACATATATCTAGGGGAACAATTGTTGGGCCATATGGTAACCCTACATTTGACCTTTTAAAGAACTGCCAGGTTGGTTTTCAAGGCATCTGCACCATTTCACATTACCTTTAGCCGTGTGTGAGGGTGGCAGTTTTTCCACATCCACACCAACACTTGTTACTGTATGTCTTTTTTACTGTATTCATCCTACTGGATGTGAAGTGGCAAGTGAGTGGCATTTTAACAGAAGAAAAGTGAGAATTCAGGGCTGAAGTTTTTGGTGTGAAAATACAGGTCAGGCCCTGGCTGGTTTGGCTCAGTGGATAGAGCGTCGGCCTGTGGACTGAAGGGTCCAGGGTTTGATTCCAGTTGAGGGCACATGCCCGGGTTGCAGGCTCTATCCCCAGGGTGGGGGTGTGGGTGGCAGCCGATCAATGATTCTCTCTCATCATTGATGTTTCTATCTCTCTCTCCCTCTCCCTTCCTCTCTGAAACCAATAAAAATATGTATTTAAAGAAAAAAAGAAAATACAGGTCAGGCCCAAGGAATGGTGAATAATCCATAGGATAAGTGGAGAAATAAAGAGAAGGGATAACCCTGGAAAGGTTGCTTGAGGCCAGATCATAGAGGGTCTTGCATATCATACTGCTCAAGTATTGGATTTGTCTTATAAGCACATTCACCTGGGAGGTGGCTTGATTGGAGCTGTTTGGCTATTACGTTTTGGCTTTTTTGGTTAAAATGTTTTCCTCACCCTGACAGTCGATAGAAGATGGAGTGGAGGAACAGTTTAGAGGCAGGACAGCCCTTTAGGAACCCTAGTGCAGCCATTTAAGAGAGAGATGATGATAGTGGCAACAGCAGAAAAGGAAGGTGGGGACAGAGTCAAGAGATAAAACAGTAGAATCAACAAGACTGGCAGCTGATGGGGTAAGAAATATGGACATAGTGAAAGTTTATACCAGTTTCTGGTGCAGGTGGCTAGTTCCATTGATGATATTGGGAAATGGAACTAGCAGGAGGGTAGAAGATTAGAAGGAATGGATAAGGAATTTAATTTTAGATCTTGGTGTCTTTATACTTTCTTTGGACATGTGCCTCCTAAAAGAATTTTGAAAAGCTGTACCACTTGTACATTTTTAACCTGACATCTGAAATTTTTCAACATGAATTTAAATAAAGAAAATGTGGTCTATTTTAACATTTTAAAACAAAATTGTTACCTAAACTTTTAAAATGTATTCCGTAGAATATTAATATATGAGAGCAGTTCTGTACCTACATCATCCACTTGCAAAACACATTAAAATTTTTTTACCTCTTTAACAGATACTTTACATTTTTCCTTTTTCTCTTTGAGCACATATTTCTCTTTCAGTTTCCTATAGAATTTTATTCTAAGGCAATATATTTTTATGCATGAAGTCTCTTTTTTTAATATATTTTCATTGATTTCAGAGAGGAAAGGAGAGGGATAGAGAGCTAGAAACATCAATGATGAGAGAGAATCATTGATCGGCTGCCTCTTGCACGCCCCCCACTGGGGATTGAACCCTCAACCTGGGCATGTACCCTTGGCCGGAATCGAGCCCAGGACCCTTTGGTCCCCAGGTTGACACTCTATCCACTGAGCCAAA